CATCTTCCCGAATCTGTGCATAAGCCACGATAGAATCAATACAGGAGCCAACCTCCAACTTCTCAGATATTCCAAATATCCAAGAATTGAGAATTTTAGAAAAACAAAGTTAAAAATCAGAAGCCAGGGATGGTGGCACATGATTGTAAAGGCTGAGACAGGAGGATTGCTATGAGTTTGAGGCAATTCTGGAGTATATAACGACTTCAAGACTAGCTTGAACTACATAGCACTGTCTCAGAAAAAACAAAAAATGTTTAAAAATCAGATCAGTTATAATTTACAGAAAAAAAGAAATGCAGCTAGACCATAAACAGGACAGCATGTTCAATGCCTCTCAAAATATGTAAATAAATGAAATAATCAAACCAATTTAAAAATTAAAATATTCACTGATATGCAGTCACTTTCATTTATATTTGTAAGAAGAATTGATTAAAACATTTTAAGAAGATGATGTAGAAATAATTTTCTTTATATTTGGTGACATTCAGCTTGGGGGAAGCATAAAGCTGGAGGACCACGGCCAGTTCAAGGCCAGCCTGGGCTACATAGTTAATTCTAGCCTAAACTACACAGCAAGACACACACACACACACACACACACACACACACACACACACACACTACTATGCCTAGGTTTATTCAACTAAAAGGGAGAATAAGAATATAATCTAGAATATCATCTATTTATAGTGTATGGTCAGAAATAAGTTTTTATCTTATAAGTAATTAGAATTGTATCCAATACAGGAAAAGCTCTACATAACTGCCAGCAACTATTAACATTTAACATAAGCAGATTTTTTACTTATCAGCCACGTGATAGGAATTGATCATAGAAACAAATAAGATCAACTGTTTTAGCCATTAAGCTTCATTGCCTATTGATAGGTATTCGTTTTTGAATGAATGATAAAAGAAATCAAAAAAGGCCTCAGTAACTGAGAACTAAAGGACTACTTTGCTATTCTGAGTATATATTAGACAACCTACAATCAGGAAAGATTGGGTGACAGTTGCATAAGTGACCAGAAAAATGGAAGAAACTTTGGTCAGACACATAACATCATTCAGGGAGATGAAATGAATGTTGGAAAGTGATTGTTTATGTATGGTACAAGAAATGTACCTTCCCATGGATGGTGCCGCATGGTAGCTGTGACAGTTCACACAGAACTCCGCTTTCCTGGAACGCTAGCCTACCTTGAGGCCATGGTGTGTGAGTCTGTGTTTACATACATTGAAAATGCCCAGAAGCAATCACAAGAAGTTCTTAATAATGGTTAATAATGGCCTTGTGGGAGGGGCCTGGGTAATACAATTTGGGAAGCAGATGGTCTGTGGGAAGGATGAGGAAACTCTATTTTTCAAATTTTTTTACAATAAGAATGTATTGCTTATATAATTTAGATTTTAAAAACCAACTTTACATCAGTGAGTCCAAGCAGCAGCATGGGGTTTCTAACTTGCCCACTTGGCTTTCTGACAGATAACACTGAAGATTGCTTTGCCCTGGCAAGCTTTCCTGTGTTCCCTTTCTGAAAATGACAGTGCTGGATGGCAGGTGGAAAGTATTTATTTTCAACATGGCATGGTTATAAAATGTCAAACGCTTTCACTTAACCCTTATATTATTTAGCTTCAGAGATTTCCAGGTTCTAAAAATAAGATAAACTTCTTTCCTGGGTTTATGTACCTTGAACATATTTTAAGTATACAGAAGTCATTCGTGCAGTGTTTATCTAAAAGGTGGACATCAAAACTGTGTCTGTGATAATCATTTTTCTTTTCATGCTCTCTGAGAGCAATCCCAGGAAATGTTCTTTCATGATCAAAGCAAATCACTGCCTAGAAAAACGCACTATTTTCAGTCCACTCTGCTACTACTAAGTGCCAAATGCATTTGAAGATGGAATGTTTCACGCTAGAAAAAGTTAAGTATAGCACTAAAAAGCAGCCATGAGATTACCGAGGCAATCTACACACACACACTCTTACACACACACAAAAGAACAACAAAACAAAACAAAAAAAGTGGGAAAACTATACACATTTATCCAGGGCAAAACCACCATCAGTGTGCAGAGCTTAGCTTTATGTATTTCACAGATTGCCCTTGAGAATATCCAAGACTTGAAAAAGACAGAAAGAAAATATGCATGGCTCCCACTTGTCAAAACAGGCAGTTGGGCAACTATATTAATCGTGATTTAAAAGCCTTGTAACATATTCTATTTCAATGATTTTCCACTTTTCCCCCTGTGGAAAGGAATATAGTTCCTGTGTGAAAACAGACAATTTGCACCTGAACTAAATTTATGTGTTGAAGCCTTTCTCGAAGACAGGTATCAGCTCTGCTAACTCGTGGGTGAGGAAGGCAGGGACACAGCTAATCACCCAGGAAGAGAAGGCATAAATACGAACTCACAGCCATGCCGATGTCTCGGGAAAAATAGTAACAAAGATTCTTCCTATCAGCTTTTCTGCCCAAATTAATATCAGTTTAGTTATTACTAAGCAGGAATACACTTGAAAACCCAGGGGGAAAAGGGAAACGTATTATATCTACTCTACAAATTGCTCTAAGGTTGCTAGTAATTGTAACTATACAAAGTGACCTCTCTTTTCTATAAGTGACTTGTCCTTGTTAGTAGGCTGTGACAGCAATAGTTTTCGAATGGCAGCTTGGGAAGAAAATATTTGAATTTCACTTATTTTATCCCAGAAATAAAAAAATTAAGCTTGACTTATGTTTACTATTAAAACTTGTCTGTATTATCATATGTCATAAGTATTATGCACAAGAAACTGAACAGAGTCCCCCAATTTACCTTTTCACTGGTTCCCGAGCTTTCAACACATTACAGTGAATTATAAATTATGTACACCTAATTAAAACTTCTTAGAAATTTGTTTCAGTGCTGAAGATCAAAACCAGAGCCTTGTATGCCAGATCATTTTTATACATTAAGTCTAAAAATTATCAAAGAAATCCAGATTGAAGATAAAATTATTCATGCAGGTTCAAGCAGAAAAAAGTGGCAGTATAAATACTTTTAATGTTACTATGTGTTCTTTAGCATGTTAAAAATAATGATCTAATCATCTGTGACTCTATGTCAGACCCTCAAATTTGAAGTTATCAGAATGTTCCCATCCTTTTAAATTGTACACTGTTTCTTGATATGTATCAGCTAGCGATGGTTCTTGTACGTGTGTAACTTATACATAAATATATATATTATGTTAATATATGTTCATTTTCTGTTAGTGATATATGCACATATTTTAAAATACTGAGGCCACTCTTCAAGAGAACAGAACAAGGGACAAAAGAAAACAGTAAAAGACTACGCCAAGCTTTAATGACCAGTTGATTTTCCATGAAATGCACTGAAATGATGTTTTTTAACTACCTGGTTTTGCTGACGTTGGCCTATCCACCTCCAGAGCTTTTTCCTAAAGTGATTAATTTCAGAAATACATTATGACACACTAGATTCCAAGATAAAATGCCAATTCACCAAAATAAGTCATTTTAGTACTAAGTAGTTGAAATGCAAATGATTCATTTTATGTTTTGTTTCTGTGTCTTCTCATAGGAGAAATATGTAAGTTGTTGCAGGGCGAAAATGAGAGAGAGTCCACCAGATCAGTAAGTATTTAACAAGGTAAACTCCTGAGAAGCTGCCTCCACTCCGTTTCTAAGGGAACGGCTGGAAGAGACAGGAGAAGCCCGCTGTTCAAGCCGCCTTATCTCGCACAGGGAAAACCATCAGGATGAAGGACATGAACAGGCACAGCTGCTCAGATGCAGAGCCCATTGGCTTCCTAACTCACGGGCCCAGCATTCTCCAATTTAAGAGGATGCGAGCAGATGTACCCTCGTATCCTTGGTGGGCATTTACTCAGAGTTAGCTCAGACACTACACTGTCTCTCCTAAAAGGACTGCCTCCCCCAGAAATGAAAAACGAGGGAAAAAGGAGCCCATAAAGGTGAACAGACACTGTTTTAGGACTTAAAACAGCTGTTAGGTGGGGATGTTAAGTGATTACAAAATGGCTATCTGATGGTTGGAAACTCCACACATTCTCACACTTCGTGTTGAAAGAATCTCAGCTGTTTTCTGGGAAGTGTTAGGAGATGGAGAAACATTCATGGGGAGAAAGAGAAAGAGAAATAACGTTATTGTTACTCAGCGTAGACAATGTATCTAAAACTTTACCTTGGTTTAATATAATTGTCTTATGTGTTTAATAAGATTTTTGCTCCATGAACTGATTGTTTATCTGTATAGATGAACTAAGACTTGCAAAATAAAAAGGAGTGTAGGAAAGGAGAAAGAATTGAGATGTGTTATGTCTATGTACCAGTTCCCTAAAATGAATGCAATCATTATGTGTTGCAAACATGTGTTAATAAAATTAAAAAATAATTTACCATCTTAATCATTTAAAAAAAATATTTACTGATGACAGTTTATCTAATGTGATAAGTATAGTTTAGTTTGCCTGTATCGAACAAAGCATAGGAAACTGTGGCTTCACTTTGGCTATTGTGATCCAGGATTTTTTGTTCTTGTTGTTCTATGTCTTTCTCTAGGATGAACATGAAATATTCTGTCTTCTGATACATTTGACACTTGCTAGCAACAGAAGTAACTAAAAAGCAATACATTTTTGCAGGATGTGAGCTTGCTTTGATTATGGAAGACTTGCTGAGACAGCGTCTCACTAATGCAAAGTAGCATGTCAAAAAAAGAGAAGAAAATCTGATTTATTGAATCTGAAAATCAACAATTTAAACAAAAACCTCTGATTCAGATGTAAAATCACGTTTTCAAAAAGCACTGCTATTAAAAGATAAATGGAAAAGTTTGAACAGTGACTCATAAATTGGCACCATTAAATTAAAGGGGTTTGAAGGCCCAAGAAAAGAATGTGAAGAGAAGGCTTTCATCAGGTGTATGTGGAAGGAGAGGAAAGAAATTCTTTGATTAAAATTTGAACAGTTGCTTTATTTCGAATGTCTTTCTTGGCTTACAACAAGTGCTCAGTTAGCCATTCAGGAGTGACAAAGCTCGAGTTCCATTTTCTATACGTGAGGACCCAGGACGCTGAAGTTACCTGAGCCCATGGTATCTCTTTAAGTCATTGTAACATTGCTTTAGGAAATCTTTTCCATCCACTTAGGACAGTTCCCTTAGAATGAGGTGAGCAGAACATCTCCGCAATGCACTCAGTACAGTTCTCCTTGACACTGGTAAATAAGCTGCTTATTTAAATGAATTTTTCAACTTGACATTGAAAAATCACAGCCTATCAGTTAAAAAGAGCAAGTTTTCAGATATCATGTGACAAGTTATAATATAGTCATTTAGACCCCTTCAAATCTTAACCTATTCTGTCTGATTCCAAATCCTTTTGTTCGTCTGTTTGTCTCACATGGTCCTCATCTGTTAAGGAATAAAAACATTGAGTGAGCATCTAATAAAAAACAAAGTATGTTATCTTTTAGGTAAACCTATGGCAGAACTTACCTTGAGAAGTAAATGAACAATGCCCAGTGAAGAATCTCTACCCACCATTATGCCTCCCATCGCATTCAAAATTCCTAAGGAGAGGCATCTTCTAAATGTCGCTCTCTGAATGTTATCTGGAAGAATACCGTGAAGCCATCAATGGTCAAACAAAGTGTACAAATAAAGACTGGTTATTTACAAACAGTCATGGACTAAACTAAGTCCTTAATGAACATACAGCACGGAGCAAGACTGAACTGGGGCGTTGCTCCTGGAGCTGGGAAAGGAAAGATGCCTTCCAAAGCAGCCAAGTAGACTCTCACAGCCAAAAGGAGAGTGGGGAAACTGAGCAATCAGAGTGGGGCACAGAGGCAGGAGGAACTGCTAGGGACCAACGAAAGCTGCTTCACCCCTTCAGGATCTGTTGACCTCTCCCCACCGCTCCTTCAACTTGAGCATTTAGTAAGTATCTGTTTTCAAGGGAGCAGGTGAGGTAGAAGTTGCGTAACTAACAGATTTACAAGTCAAAACAAAATTAAATGTGTAGGATTGATGACCATATTACTAAGATTCTGTTGGATAGTTGAACAGAACTGTTTGCAGTCTCTGTTTGAATGTCCACTTTGTATGCTTCACTTTTATAACTTGAACAACTATTTCTAAGACAATATGTAATTATCAACCAGTGATTTCTTAGTTTATTTTTTTTTGAAATTATGTATTATTTCTACCCTTTTTCTGTTTTTTTTTTTTCTTTAAATAAAAATAAATTAAAATCCAGTCTCCAACAGAACTCTGGGACCTTGTACGTTACTTCTTAAGCCCCAGATTCCCATATCTAAACTAGGGATAATAATTCCTACCTAGAGACCTGTTACGATTAAAGAGTATATAAAATTTCTAATATAGAACTTCTCTTTCTCCTTCTTTGTCTACTCAAGCTTTGATGAAGAAAAAGAGCTACAGATGACCTGTTCATGAGTCAGTTACTAAGTTTTCTTACAAGTATTTGTGCCTTGAAAAATACTCTGGGGTAATTTTCAGGGAGAAATAAACATCATTTTATGAATATGAATTGATTATAGCTCATTTTGTATCATTTCAGCTCTCTTGTAGAAAAAATAAACTAATATTATATCTGCATCGTTATAAAATAAAGCAAAATCAACATAAATGCATTACAGTTTCATTGTATTTGGAACTGGGGAAAATACAAAGAAATAAGGGACACAGTATCTAAAATGAGTTAGCCATTCGAGGTTCAAAACAAGTGTAAATTTCAGAGGCATAAAAATTAGACAGCAGCTCAAGACACAACAGGAAAGATGGCATGAGGCTGTTTATGGTTAATTGCCAAATGGACCGCATAGAAAATAATTCTTATATGAATTTAGAAAAGAAATAAATTACTTCCTCGTATATAGTGAGAAAGGTCTGAAACAGGTTGGAAATTAGTGGCCCATGGGTAGAAATCAACCTGCAGGTCTACTGAGCGGAAACTCTTCATGGGCATTTTTTATTTTGGTTTGGTTTGGTTTCATTTTTTAAAAATACTTTATATCATTAGAAATGGAGAGAATATTTCCTGCTACCCAGAGACAGCCATTCTAGACTAAATTGGTTATCTTGGGATTTTGAGCGAAGAATAACAAAAGAGTAAGTCCAATTATCCTTCTCCGTTCTGTAAGTGCAGCCCCTCCCTCCTATCGGGCCATTTCTGGCACTGTATTATTACGTTCCCTGCCTTTGACACGATCAAAAGTTCTAGTTAACAACAGCATTAAAGAGACTTAGCATTTCCTGAGCAACCAATGATAATTAAAATCATCAGGGTAAAACCCAGCAGGTTCTCCTCCTCGGTGATTATCAGTTAGAGCTGGCTTCACAGGCTGACCACTACATAATAAAGTAAGCAGGCAGGTAATTAAATCCTCAGTTCTGTAAGTACCCACAGGGACTCTGTGCCAATAAGCAATTTTCCATTTCAGACATTTGGGGAATGAATAAACAGACAGCTCAGACGATACTGTGACTGCAAAACAGTAACATGAATACAAAGAAGCTTTATTCACAGTCACTGTCTTCATTTAACACTCTTTTGGTGAATAGTGACATGTCCTTATTTAAATATTCAGAAGCCTGGGATGGTTTGTTCTCCAAAACCTTTCCTTTGTCATCTAAACATATGTCTATCCTTGTGGGATTTAATTGATATTTACTGCCTCAAGTTACTTCAAGACTTCTTTTATTCACTGAAAACATCAGCCCGTGAACCAATCTCCATATTCAAAACAATTTTCGTACACTGTTTCAAAGATGGTTATGCCCACATTGTAACTTTTACTGATGCAATGTATTCTGATATCTTTATATACTGAGTCTCTGGATTTATGTTGTGCATGTTAATCAGTAATCAGAAAAATCGCTCCAATCCACGTGATCTGAGAAGCAATGATTTAGAATAGAAGGAAGATCATTACCAGCAGAGAAAAGCCACTAAAACATACATATCCTTCCTATACTTACATAAAATACCTATGTGCATATTTTATTTTCAAAAAAATGAGATTTTGACTTCACAAAACATCTAAATTTTTTTTTACACAGAACCCCATTAAACAGACACTGCATCAGTCTTATATATGGTAAATACTTGACTTATTCATTATGAATGAGATGGCTAAAGGAGATGTTCGCAATCATTTAAGTTTCCTTTTGACATAATTTCTAGGAACGGGTACATTTTCATGATCCAAATATGTGTATTCTGTAGTATATAAGATCATCCTTACCACTTGGCTCCTCAGACGATAATAATTTCTCTGACCTAACCTAGGAATTTCACAACCTGCTTATGTGTGAAGTTAGCCCTGAGGATATCCAGGAATCTACTATAAATCCCTAACTTTCTAGAGGTTCAGGGATGACCAGCATTAGTCCACAAACCTGGCATCTCAGCAAGTTGGGTTATAATTAAACAGATTGCAACCTTTTGGTCAAGTATACGTTTTCATAGATACACAGGAAAAATTGAAGGGAAACGTGAACTTTGTTGCTGCAAAACACTAATGTATTTCCACCTAAAATGACATAGGAAAATAAATAAGTAAGCCGCTTTGAGCCGAAAGCCCTTGAGACTGTTGTGCAAACACTAACAGGGTAAGAAAGGACCAAGTGTGCCTCCCATGGCCCACATTCCTAAAGATAGTACAGTACTGAAATGAGAGCTCTCTGCATGGCAAATGAAACTGCTTTAAAGAAATAATACTTCTTCCTAGGCCTGCTTATACGTGTAAAACAAAGTACAATTACAGAGCTCACAAAGCTGAGCACGAGCTGGCACTAAGCTGCCCTGGAGCCCGCGTGCTCATTTAGGCAGCTGGAGGAAAACAAATGGCTCTGAAGCTCAGGATTCTGTCTGTTCAAACACTGGGAAGTGCTCTCTCCACTGCACAGAGCAAAACGTGGGAAATACTAGTGGGGTGCTAGAGGGGTGCGGCTGGACTCCATCTTGGTTTAGAGAAACGGGAATCACTGTGTGGCTCTGTCTTCGGCTGTGAGCCCTGCCATACTCGCTCTGCAGCTCCAGCCTGTAACCTTCCTTTCTCCACTGAAACTGGTCAGCCTCTTACCGCGCGAGCATCAAAATACTCTTGAGTTGCTTTGGCCTCATTAGAACAGACTTTCATTTCTGCAACGCGCTCAGCATGGCGGTCACTTCTTGCCCAAACCTACTCCCAAGTCAGTGTTAGGATCTTTTATTTTATTTTACCAGTTCTCTATTTCCAATCTTTCTCTAGCTCCTTCTGCTTACTCCTAAAATATGTACTCCTAATATTACGTTTTCTCTGGGCAGGGCTATTATCCTCTCTCATGATTTAAATTACTGCTTATTCATTAATAAAAGCTTTGGTGGTTGCCAGAAATTATGGAGAGAGGGAAAAAAGAGTTTTTGTTTAACAGGTATAAAGATTCAGATTTGCAAGATAAAATGTCCTGAGGGTCTGTCTCACAGCAATGTGTGCATAGTTAACATCATTCAACTATACACTTAAAACTGGTTAAGGTGATTTTTAAATGGACACAGTAGGTAGCTAGATGGACACAGCAAGTGAGCCCAAATCCAAAATTTCATATGAATTGATTATACGTAGCAGAAAAGCCAACAAAGAATTACTTAGAAATAAGAATTTTATCTTTCTTGCAGTAAATGTGTTTGGCTCTTTTGTCAAAGATAAGGTGACTGAGTGTTTAGAGTTCTTTCTGCATCTTCTGATCTGTTCTATTGATCCGCAGGTCTGCTTTTTTACCAGTACCATGTTGTTTTTATCACAGTAGCTTTGTAGTATAATCTCAAGTCAGAAATTATAATGCCCCCTGCCTTGCCTTTGTTGCCAAGAACTGTGCTTTCTATTCTAGTCTTTTATGGTTCCAAATGGATTTTAGGAATACTTTCTTTAGTCCTGTGAGGTATGGCTTTCCACAGGCCGAAAACTGATCTAGACCCTTCTCTGTCAGCATGCTCTAAACTAAAATCAAAATGAATCAAAGACCTAAATATGAAAACAGAAACATTAAGTCTGCTAGAAGAGAAAATATGCCGAACTCTTGAAGACAGAGGGGTAGGCAAAGATTTCATGAAGAAAACCCCAATCACATAGGAAATAATATAAAGAATTCATAACCGAGATCTCACCCTATTAAAAAGCTTTAGAACAATGAAAGAAGCCACCAACAGAATGACAACCCACAGAGTGGGGGAAAATTTGTTCAGCTGTCTTCAGACAAAGGACTTATATCTAGAACATAACAAGAACTGAAAAAACTCAGACACCTCCTCCAAATTTAAAGGCCCAACCCAAAAATGAGTATCTGAGATGAATGCACACTTCTCAGATATGTAAGTACAAATGGCAAATGAATACATGAAAAAATGTTTGTCATTGGTTTTTGGAGAGATGCAAATTGAAACAATGCTGAGCTTCCATGTCACCTCAGAAAGCAGAGCTATCATCAAGAAAGCAACCAGCAACAAATGCTGGATGGGCTGTGCAGAAGAAGGGACTCTTCTCCACTGTTGCTGAGAGTGTAGACTGGTGCAACCTCTGTGGAAATCACTGTGGAGATTACTCAAAAAACTAGGATTAGAAGTCCCATTTGACCCAGCTATTCCCCTTCTAAGTATCTTCCTACAAGACTTAAAAACATCACAGCACAGTGATACATGCATACCCATGTTTATAGCAGTACAGTTTTATAGCTAAATCTTGGAAACAACCTAAATGTTCATCAGCTGAGAAATGGATAAAGAAGATGTGGGGTTTTTAATACATTGAAGCACTATTTGGCCATAAAGAAGGATAAATTCAAGTCATTTCTAGGAAAATGAATGCAATTTGAGACCATACTCTAAACTGAAATAAATCAGAATCACATGTGTAACATCATACTATCTCCCTGCTGTCAGAAACTAAAAGAGTAAATAAGGACAAAAATGTACAATGGATACTGCGAAATGAGAAAAAATTGTTCAAAAGGAAAGAAGAAAAGGATACGGGAAATGAGAAAGAAAAGAAAGGCTCTGTGGACTCTGAGAAGGATAAAATGGAAACAAAGCTTTGTAAATAGGGAAGGGAAGAAGATGGGTTGCGGGGAGGAGAGGGTATTGAGACAAATGGAGAAATCAAAATATGTCGTGTACAGGTACAAACTTCCTATGATCCACATGATCGTTACGTATATCTAAAATGAACCAATAAACTTAATTGTATATAAAAAAGTTTTATTATATCCTATTTCTAAAAGAGTTGGAGAAAGGAGCTTAGCAAGTTAGCTAATCAAATATCCAAAGACCAAGATTATTTCCATTTTTCCAGTGAGCCATCCTCGGCATGCTGGTGAGCTCACTGCCTGGATTCAGGATGCTTGCACCTGCCCTAGGCTTCACATCCTCGCACACCAATAGCCCAAGGCAGAAAAGGGAACTTTCACCTCCTTGGTTCTGTTTATATGCATTAAGAATTTCTCCGGGCAGAGCCTCGATAGCCCTTTATCACCACTGACTAGAAGTGAATCAACAGCCACTTCCTGATCAGCTCACTTTGAGGGGAACAGAATCCCCACAGCTGGAGCAGATTATTCAGTTTCGCCTTCTCAGAGCCCACAGCTGCAGGGGAGAGTCAAGGCCCCAGGGCAGCGCTCTACCAGCCCGAAAGGATGGGCATGGTAAAGATCTGCTGGGCAATGACGTACTGATCCCTTCTCTGATCCAGTGTGAAAACTGTTTCCAAAACACCCACTCTCATACTGAACTCAGATGTGCAAAACCATCTACTCCTTCTTCCAAGAACTCTTCCCCGGTGTCCTGTTCCATTTTATGACACATACAGTCAAAACTGTCAGAAACCCAAAAGTGCTCAATTTCTTATTTTCGCTACATAAGCAATGTCAAATTCTGATATCATGTTTGATGCTTTCATTCCTTCTGCCACTGCCTCTAAAATTTGAAGCATTTCCCTGCTTCTAGTCTGACTTTTCCTCAGCCAGTGGAAATGTTAAACTGATGCTAAGGAGAGCAATTAATCTGAAACACAAAACCCGGCCATGCTGTGTGAGGTCCAAAAGTAGGGCTCTTACAATTGTGATTTCCTTAAAATAGATGCAAAGTTGGTTGGGCATGTATGTGAAATTTCTGACAGATTATTTTAAAGATGTCCTTGACCCAGGACAACTTCAAAAACAACTGAATTAACGGATAAAAATCTAAGATACTTAGCATGAAACACAAGACCTTTCATAATGTTTTCTACCCACATCTCCAGATTCATCTCTTATATCTTATATTTCACCAAAACTGAATGATTTTCAAGTACTCGAATATTCCTGTCCATGCATAAATCAACACTTCTTTCTAGATTAATTTTCTTGCCCCAATCTATTTAATGCCTACGAAGGTATCTTTCGAATTTCGAGGTGACCTCCTCTGTAAACCGTCCTTTACGACCCCAGGAAATACCACCTCCATCTATAGGTCTATAGATATTTTCCTATCTTGTAAATAGAAAAACATAGTGCACTGGGCCTCTTGTGTGTAATTTCCTATTTTTTCTACCAAACTGTGAGCTACCTAAAGAAAAGATGTTATATTTTTTGGAGGTGTCACCAATTCCCAGGAAAGACCTCACTGCATTGATATCCTTGTCAGATTCACTTAAAAATAAAGTACATGTAACCATAGTTAATTTATAATAATACCTTATGGATTAATCAGATATTGAGCATGATTCTTATACCACTTCCTTTCTCTTACCTAATTTTGAAAGCAATGAGTTTCAAAATTTAGTGTGCAATATATTTACTAGTGAAGCTTCTTAAAATAGAAGGGGCCTCAGGTTCTATCCCAGACTCCCTGCACCAACTTGCCCCGGCTGGAGCCGTGGGGTTCGCCTTTGTAATCAGCTGCCCAGGTGAGCCTGATTGATGGCCTAACGACTACCTCTCTCCAAATTCAATAGAAATCACTTTTCATTGCAGGACAAATTCTTGTTTGTCTCCCTTTGTGACCTTGGACACCAGGGGTCTGTTCCTACTGAGGACAACAAAGGACAATCTACTTCAGTCCCTGCTGACATGCTTCCCTTGAAGGCAGAAAATAAAAGGAACCCCAGGCCTGGAAGTCATTTGGACAGGTCTAGCTGAAGAACCAAAGCAGAATATTAACATTCTGGGCCCAAAAACTTTATTTTCACTTTTCTTTGGGGCATAAATAATTCATAAGTCAAATAGAATTGTTCTGGCCCTAGAGATTTTGCAATAATGGCTCATAGCGTGGCATTATCATTTGCATTTGGTATTATTTTCCTTATATTTCCATAAGGACTGGTCATACTGTTTCCCAAACAACCTCATAGAGCTCTCAGCCCACACCAGACCTTGGCCCAGGCCGATGAACTTCAGAAAGACAACAGCAAGCAGTCCAGTCATAGCCAGGCCCCAGCTCTTCTCTCTTTGGTCAAAGAAGAAATGAATTTAATTCCTCAGGACCTCAAAGCCCTTCAGTCAGCACAATGGATCTCCCTTCACTCTACAGTACGCCCCAAAGCTTGCTGTTTTCTTTTTTTGTTTGTTTGTTTTTGTCTTTCTCTTTTTTATTGGTACCAGGGATCGAACTCACTCACGACTGCTGCTTGCAAGGCAGGGGCTTATGCCTAAATCCCCAGCCCCAGCTTGCTGTTCTCTTATTCATGTGTCTAATTGCTCGTCTTCTTGCCTACCCCTGTCTTGTGCTTACCTGGGTAATTTGCCTGCTTTGGAGTCAGCTCACTTCCATTGCTGTTCAGCGGAACACAGGGTGTGAGGACGGGCGATTGAGGGCTCTTGCTGTGGCCTTTTGCAAAGCCATGGTATCACCTCCTTCAGTGACTTAGCATGGCAGAGTGTGACATTGATCCCAGTTCCTCCTGCCACAGGACTCCTCTACTGCTCAGGGCTGTGACTGCCAAGATCCCGTGGAAATTTGAATTGTTTCCTGCCCAGTCTCCCTTTCTCTCTTTGATGGGTGTCAGACCCACACAGTGTGGGAGAGCCCTCCAGCTACTCCTGCTCCCTGGCTCTTTATCCTCCACGGGTGCCTCCACTTGCTAAAACTCTTACACAACAAATTGCAACGTGGCTTCTTGAAGGACTCACACTGACATCATTTTTGCTGGGCTAAAGACTACTGAAAATTCTTTGTAATTATTCTTAATAAAAGTGGAAACCCCGTGCACCCAGACTGCCAACTGCGTGTACCAGGACTGCAGAAATGCAAGTAAAATTCTGTGGGAAACCCCAGACAAGGCCATTTGCCAGCTGAGCACCCCTAAATCATTTCAGTCAACATCAGGAGAATCAGAAGAATCATCCAACCAAACCTGATCCCTGACCCATACAATTTTGAGACAAAATAATATTTTTTGTTTTAGTCACTGCACTTTAACATAGTTTGCAGCAATCAGTAACTTGAATAGGTGCCATTGATTTTTCTTCCCTTGATTATTCTTATTTAATTGAGTTTAAAACCAATAGTTACATAATTTTTCACAAAGGGGAAGGTTTTAAGAGCCTATATGAAAGCAAACATTCCATAGTCTCTCAGGCTATAATTTTTATTGTAAGATTAGTCTTTATTCAAATCTAACCTGTTGAGTTAAATGGAAACTTCTTTGTAATTTAAGGTGCTAAGGCTTACCCCTCTAGTTCCCCTCTTCATTAATTTTTCATTTATTGGCTCTCTTTCTTTATAGAAACCAACTTAATAATCTCCCTGTTAGTATGAAATTCTACAAGTTTTTTTTTTTTTTTTATGCTCAAAAGAGATGGGGGGTATAGTGTAACGCTTTCAAAAAATTGAGACTGTTGAAAAGTATATGCAGCTGCAGGCAGATTTGAAATGGAACACTGATTTTATTTTGATCAATAAATCCAGATAACACAAGGCATTACCATTCTCAAACTCTGCAGTTTTTACTTCATTTTAACTGAATGTGTCTGGTGGAATCTTGCTTTATTCCATAAAACAGAATGACAATTTTTTTCACGAGTCAGACAAGCCAGACCTATCTGAAATCAATCTTTCAGCACGGCAAGTACATTGTAAATTATAAGGCAATGTGTATACGAAAGCAAATGTCATAGTTAATTTTAACAATTTTCCAAAGCATGTCAGGGTTTTGATAATACTAGAGAGATGGAAATTTCTTACACAGCATACCAGACCAGCACAGTTTTCAATTTGAGACTATAGGCCATTGACGAGCGTGTCATCAAGTTCTCAGAGTATTTGTGGTCGATATGCTCAAGAAATTAAAAGCATTCAATCTTAGGCAAGACACAGATGTGAACGACTGATACAGAAGCCTGGACACACTGCAGGCGAGAGAAGTGTGCACCTTTCACAGATGTTCTGATTGGTTTTCCACAGAACCCAACCCCCACTGTAAAATCACAGAACTGTGAATATCTCCTCTGCCCACATCACTCTGAGTCATCTACAGGTCAGTCCCTTCCAACATCCTTACCCTTAAATTACTTGATCCCAGGAAAGACAACCATATAACCGTACCTTTACACTAAATCTTTTTTTTTTTTTTTTTTTTTTTTGTCTTTTTCCTTTTTTTCGGTACCGGGGATCGAACTCACGACCACCTGCTTGCAAGGCAGGTGCTTATGCTGCTGAGCTAAATCCCCAGCCCCTTAAATCTTTAAAAGCAGTATTTTCCTTTACTGTATCTCAAAACCCTGCTTTTGAGGAGTATAAATTAGCCACTCATCTGTACATACTTCCCATGTTGATTGTGTTGAAAAGGTTAAAAAAATTTTACAAAGTATAAATGTCAACTTTTGTACTAGAGATGGGGTAAGTTCCTCTAATAATGCTGTTTATTTTAATTATATCATATATTTATAAAATTATGTAACATGAAATTTACCCACAAAATATTTTAAGTTGACAACACATTTTTCTAGTAAAGTGTAGTTAAAATGTCACTCCGCAGACCTTTAGAACTTCTTCAGGTTACTCAAGTGAAACTTCATGCCAGGTTAGTTAGCAAATGCTCCTATAAAACCCGTTTTCCTGCCTTGTTAGTCGTTTGGCTGGTGGTCAGTTTTGGAACTTGTAAGTCTGATTGGAAATACTCAGATTTGGGGAGCTGCTTTCTCATCCTTTTAGACTTTCCCTCTCTTCCTCTTCCCCGTCTCTGTCTTCATGTGGTGGTGGCAGTGGTCGCGGTGTTGCTGTTGTTGCTTTTATGGTTGTCACTGTTTTTTAGCCGATCTAGGTACCTCCTGGTTCCAGCTCTTACCTGCTGAAGTGTTTCCCAGCTCTAAAGGCTGAATCCCAGGGCAATTTCTCGGGTCACCCAGAGCTACCTATTGGAAACAAATATGTAACGTGTCTTTTTCTCCAGAAAGAACTAACAAAACCAAATGTATATTCTTCAAGGTGCCAAATAAAATTGAAAACTGAATTTATCAAGAACAAAGGCATTTAAAATTCATCACAATCAGAAAAGATTATGTTTTTGTTTCTCAAATTTCCATTTATTCTTTTCATGGATTTCAGCTCTCCAGTACAATACCCTACATTCTCATCTATTTTTCTTGAGTATAATTTCAGCCTCATTTTAAATTCTCATATCTCAGTTCCTTGCGGATGTTTCTGTTATCTCCTTTTCCTGTGGTCCTGTCTGGTAATGTGTCAAGACACTGCACAGATAAGTTGTGAGGAAACCAGCAAGGTGATAGATTCCTTCCAAGAGCTTTGCGTAAGTTTCTGCAAGGCACTGGGAGTAGGGGCAGAATCATTATCCCAGTTAAGTTTTAAGCTCACTGGGTTGAACTTTGCAAAGTTTGTCCAGCCTGGTCTGTTTCTGGTTTGTCTTCATTGCTCATGGGTAGTCTTCCGGGGCCTCCTCACTAGGAGTCTGGACCTGTTTCCCTGCAAACTGTGCACCCAAGTTTTTATCTCCCCAGCACAACCAGACCATTGCTCACCACTTGTGTTCAGCTTTAATACCTCCGAGCCTGCACCTCCTCAAGGGCAAACATGCTTGGAGCCAAGTCTTGCTTCTCTGCAGATGTTTTTCTGTATTCTATTCACATTCTCTAAGTGTTCTCAGTGGGAAGACTGGTTAGCTTCAAGCCAGTTTATCATAGCTAGAAGCCTGGGTGTACCTGTACTCTTCGAGTATGGCAGTTGGGATTTGCTGATTCACAAATTAGATGTGAAAGATTGGAGAAAGAAACTAGTCAAGAATGACTCTACAGGGTTGTTTTGTTGTTGTTGTTTTGTTTTATTTTGTTTTTATGGTACTGGGGATCAAACTCCCAACCATGCGCTTGCCAGGCAGGTACTTATGCCACTGAGCTCAATCCCCAGCCCCTCTACTGGGTTTTTACAGTCTTTTTGCCTCCCCCACACCATCCAACCAACTGTGAGGATGGTGTTGCAGGCATCTAAGGTGAGGGAAGATTGACGTGGAAAAGTGGAGCAAACAGACACTGTGAGAAAACAGGTAAGTCCAGTTATGAACATGTAAAAAGTGAGATACTTCCTATGCAAGTGACAAGAATATACAAGTCTAGAGTTCAGAGAAGTCCAAGATGGAGACATGAATTTGTGAGGCCTCAGCATTGGAAAGTACATGACAGAGGACAGAGACCTAGAATTTTGGGATGCACAACAGTGAGCAGTACTAACCTTTAAAAGATTAAAGTTTCCTCCACATTTTATTGTGGGACTTTCACAACCAAATGGAGCAAGAGACTGAAGGAGACAAAGGCAGGACTCTAGGCTTTTAAGCACATCCTGCCATTCCAGTTTCTCTAAAAGCAGCAGTTGTGACTGCTTTGACTTCTGCTATTCAGATAGAATGTAAAGCACCACCAGCTTCTCTCCCACCTCTCCTCCTACAGAACTCCATCTGCAAATAGGAGTCAAAGTCAGGAGAGAGTGATACCTGCACAGTGAAATAAAAACCAGATAGTAGCAAAAGATTTGGGGAAGAGAATTAAAAAGGAAGAAGGAGGAAAATGAAAATATACTCAAAAGCAAATAATCCTTATGCTTATAATAGTTTCATTAATTCTAAATGGGTAGGTCTAGTACAAAGTCTGAGTGTGACCTTCACTATCCCAGCATTAACTAGAAGTAAACTTATCTGTTAACTTATTTAATGAATTAAGGAAAAAGAATACAATTATTTTTATGAACACTTTAGGGATCTGTAAGCCCTCTTTTTGAAAGTATTATTTTTCCTCCTGACTCTCAAAACATCTAATCATTTCATAAACACCAACACACCATGGAGCAAGGATCCACTCAGGACAAAATCAGAACCACCAAGGCTGAGATCTTGGAAGATACATTTCCATAGGGTTTTTAATCCATTGTTAGGAACCACAGTGAATAATTTTTTCGTTTTACTCCTCTTTCAGTCTCTAATCAAGAGGAGACCAGGGTTACCACCATCACTTTGAGGTACATTCTGTCATCAAGCCTAGATTATCCCAAAAGCATCTAGTGTCATTTTTCTTCCCTTGGTTCCTAAGTGGCTTTTTGCCATTACTGGATCTGCATAATGATAGAATAATCTTTCTAGAACACATGATAATCATATCTCTCCCTGATGAAGAATCTACCTTGGTCTACTACTTTATCAATTTCTTTTATTTTTTAGTAGTCTCATAATTTTCTATCTTTGCCTCCAATTCCAATATCCCTAATGTGCTATACAACAAAAATCCAATTTAGCTTGTACGTTATTTTGTTTCATAAAGCCTGCCTACGACTTACAATGCGCCATACTGTTTGTGTATAATGCATGATGTAACTCACAGCAGAGGCCACCCAAGAGAATTTTAGGAGAACAAACACCTCACGACTTGGTACCAGAAGACAGAAATCCAGTGTCAGCTCTCACACTGCTCAGTTGCATGATCACAGAAGATCTTTTTATTTTTTTGCACTTCCATTTTGTTATTTGTAAAACTATAAGGACCGAATTCAGTTCTCTCTCAGCTTCTTATATTCTAATGCCTTTTTGAAACACCTACCTCTGAAAAAGAAGGATGAGCTAAAGGAAACTAAAAATAAATAACAATTGCTTACAAAATAGCGATTTTTATACAAAATGTACATTTAAAGCAACCTAATAAGCTAGACAATGCTATATTTAGCAGATGCATAGATTAGCAATTTATTTTTATAGGGATTGTTATTGTTTCTCGTTTTTGTCATTTCCCCAAAGTGTTTTGGCTTTTGTTTATAATCAAACACAGTCTTCCTCCGCTGATGTATCTGCGTTACACACACGCTAATGTTTCCAGACAATTCCAATTACGTTGACTCTACACACATCTGGTCACAATAAAGATAAAGCAGTGATAACATCCCTAAAAATAAGTTAAAATTGTCTCAGAAGTCAAAAAGCAATAACCATAATAACAGAGACTGCTACATCTGGTTTAAAAAATGAGAACTATTGAGATTCCACATCTTGGTCATTTTTCCCTCCAAACTTTGCTCGGACTCTCACTCACACAAATTGATCTGAACCAAGTTACCGTTCAAATCCACTGTGGCTTCTAATATCAGGCTCCAAACTCATTGTCCAGCTATCACTTGTTTGTTCTTCGTGGAACAGAGGCCAGGCTTAGCTTGGCTTTCCTCATAAATCTGCTCATTTATGAATCTCCTCCCCTTCCCACGTCTGCCCCTAGTTATGGCCACCATCACACTTCCTAGCTGTTCAGGAAGAACATTCAGATGTGCTCTTTCCAACCCCTCCTTCCCCGCCCCAGGATCCCATGTCACATATCTAGTTTACCCTGGATGACAGATAAAGTAAACTAAAAAATATTGGCGATCCAACTGTAAAGCACGTATGAGCAGTGTGGAAGTCAGGATGCAGTTTCATCTGAAGTGGCTTTGGGATGCACCCTGGGGATTGGTGGGACACATTTCTCAGTGTGCCTGGGCGCGCCATGCAGATGTGGCCTTGGGATCATGCCTGGTCCTTCAGCTCCTCCACTCAGACATTGTCCTCTACTCTGCTTCCCGGCTGCCAGGAACCAGTCAGCTTTGCTCCTCCGCCCTCTCTGACCATCACATGACCACTTTGGAGCCATCCCTGGACTGAGAGTTTCTGAAACTGTGAGTATATGAAACCTTTCCACTTTTAAACTGTGGGTGTCAGGCATGGCGTCTCAGTAACAGGAAAGCTATTACCAGCAGGAATGAAAATTTATTCACTGAGATTTGGATAATTTAGAAAAGTTTTAAAAAGTACTCTTCTGCCTACCAGAGTTAACTTTATCATGAATGTTCAATCAATCAAAAGTCTTCTATCAAAATACAGGGTAACCCATGTAATTCTTCTGATTGCTACACTGAGGACAGAGAAACCACTCCAGATAATGCTGATAGCCATGAAGCCAGTTTGCACTAGAAGAAGAATAGCTTTTGAGGGGCAGGAAATGCTGGCAAAGAGCACAGCTTCTGGAATCAGACTGCCCATGCTCAAAGCTTTTTACCAACAGTAAAATGGAGATAGGGCCGGCTCATGGAGTTTTCATAAAGATTAAGTTGCTCACATATATTGAGTGTGTAGGACAGATAACCACTTTCACTTTGGCTGCTGTTGTTAAAAGGACCCTCACTGCAAGCAGATAAAAAGCAACCAAGAACCGATGCAGTTCATGTTGATACAAGTAAACTTTTATCAATTATATATAAAACAGCTGTGAATTTTCCACAGTTAATCAATTCTAACTCAAGGAAGGAGCACACGTTATGAAGAAAAATCATGTGGAACCCAGAAGAGGATCATCACATGCACAAAGATTTTCAAGAAAGAAGAACCATAATAGGTCCAGAAGAGAACGTTTCCTCCCTGTCTAACTTAATCCTATTAATACCAAAACCACACTGTGAATCATAATGAAGTATGTGATTGAGACAGAAAGATGAAGTTGGATATTTATACTTACTACATTAATTAAATACAACTAAATTAATTAAATACAACTAAATATTATATACATATATGCTCAGCTTCATACCTAATCATATTTAATTTTGTCTTTGTAAAATCTAAATTCATAATATCTCTTGAATGGTTATTTGTCCTTGTGACTGAAGATGTCTACAGCAGCTGTGCCTGGATTGGGAGACTAAAAGTCCAGGCAAAAAGCCTTCTGGTCAACCAGTGCCCCATTCATTGTTGTGCTGCTAATTCAATTATGTGATCCTCTGAAGTGCCCTCTGGGTGAGGGTATAGCTCAGTGTCAGAGCCTTGCCTAGCATGCGCAAGGCCCTGAGTTTGATCCCCAGCACTGCAGATAAACAAAACATAGTACAAAGATCCTTGCAAATGAATACAGTGCTTAACTGAGGAAAGAAGCATTCAAGCTGCTCACCTGCCCATCACCTGTCTCTCTGGATTTGGAGACAGCCACATGTTCTTGCCTGCTTTCTCCCTTCCTTTTGTGTGGCTGCCTGATCCACCTCCCCACTAACTGCTCAGAGTTATGGCACAAGGAAGGCATCACTGTGCAGACTTTTCTTCTTCCCAGGGGCTGCCTTTCTTCATCCCAAAGGCATAGATGGTTCATCTTAACTGTCAATTTGACTGAACTAAGGGACTCCTGGAGGGGTGATCGGATGGGAGGGGTGCAAAGTGTGATCAATATATACGAATATTTAAATTTTTAAAAAGTATCACAGTAAGAGACATATTGTAATTCATCACTCTCAAAACATTTGCCCTCACTTCAACCACGTACACCCCATCATTCTCACCCCTTTGTAAAGCAAGTCTGTAGTGGGCTTCCTTACAAAGTGTGATCAAAACTATAGGGAACGCCACTGCCCAGGGCCACCCAACTGAGAGGCAAGCTCCTCCAAGCGTTATGACGGGTCCTTATCCACCTTCTTCAGCAGCCATGTGACTCCTGGCTCTTCCCCAAAGTCAAAATGAGCATAAAAGGTAAACATTTTAAATGAATTCAGCACACAGAGGCAGTCACAAAAGCACAACTAACACACAAAGGAAGCCATCTAGAGCTGCATCAGACTACTGTCTGATGAACAATGGGGATAGATATGTTCAAAGAAAGGGAAAGTGTTTTGAGGGAGATTAATGGCAATGTGTTTTTTACCTAAAAAGATCTTTATTAGCCCTTGCTTGCAGTATTTAATCCTTACATTTCTTGTGTTGAGTTGAACATAAAACATCTTAATTCCGTCTTTCATTTCTCTTCCTCCTCCTTCCCTCCATCTCTTGATACACCTCCCATTTGTTATTTATAATTTTTGTTTCTCATATGGGAGACCTGTGCCTCTGATTTATTTCACTTAACATTATGACCTCCAGATAATGCAAGTTTATCTTTCTTTATGGCAGAGTTGTAGTCCATTGTGCGTAAATACCACATTTTCCTTATCCATGCCTCTGTTGATGGACATCACATGTAGCCCACTTGCAAGATTTAGCTATTATGAATGGTGCTTCTATAATAATTTAAATTTAAATATTTATAAAAGAAAATAGAGACCCAAGCATGGTAGCACACATCTCCAATCCTTGTACTCTGGGAATCTGAGACAGGGAGATGGAAAGTTCAACCCCAGGGGGCTGGGGATTTAGCTCAGCGGCATGAGCACCTGCCTGGCAAGCCTGAGGTCATGAGTTCAATCCCTGGTACCAAAAAAAAAAAAAAATCTCCCAGAAAGTTTAACCCCAGCCTAGGAAACTTAATGACACTCTATCTTGGGGCTGGGGCAGGTGGTACATGCCTGGAATCCCATCACTTGGGAAGTTGAGGTGGGAGGATCACCATGAGTTCCAGACCAGCTTGGGTGGCATGGAATCATTATATACTGCAAACATGTACTAAGAAAAAATATTTTAAAACAAAAAAACTAAATATTTATCATAGATTTTGTTCATAATTTATAACCATCACACCTGATGTTCACACCTGAATGTTCATTTAGGAGGTGAGGCCTCTTGCAGACGAGTCCCTGAGACACATCTTTGGGGAATGTGTCTCTCACCAGTGCTCTGCCCCTGTGTTTAGCTTCCTGGCCACCATGCAGTGAGCAGCTCTGCTCCACTAGCCTGTCCACCCTGATGTTTCTGTTTCTGCCATGTTGCCAGCCAACCCTGGACAGTAACCTTGAGTCACATGGAACCTCTCCTTTAAGCTGCCCGTGTTGGGCATTTTTGTTCCAACAATAACAGAGCTAACACAAGAGACGGGCCACTTGAGCTTCAAATCTCTGTTCTCTGAACATGTGCATGATCATCCTATGCTATCTCCTTCTTTCATCTTTTTGCACTCTATTTTTATGTCTTTCTATGTCTTTTCTCCATTTCATGGAACAAATTATGTTCTAAACCACTAGTGTCAGTCACTAACAACAAGAAAAATGTGTTCTGTCTCTTCATTTGGTCTATGAGTTGAAAAGTTATACTAATACCTATGATTTAACAATAGTGCTGACAACATGTATGTGTGGCTTAAAAAAGACACTGCCATTTGTGTTGTATAGGATATGACACTGCCCTTATTTCTGCTCCTTTATAAGCTCTGTAGGTAGCTCTGATGGTGGAGAGCTCAACCTCACTGTACCCCTTGCCTCCAGCTGACTCAGAAAGGACAATGCTGATGCAGCTTGCCAACAGTAGCCCCTGGGGATTTGATTCTTTATATCCAATGAAACAGACAGTGTTGAGACAGTAATCCCAGGATGTGTCTGGCATTCTCAAGGGCAGAAGTTCTAGGGTACAAAGCAATGATAAATCTCAATCACAGAAAGCATGAACAAAGCCACTAAGACCCAACCCAATGCAACATATTCTGCATTTATAAGATAAAATTTACTTACCATAACATGCATACTTTAATATAAACTTTTACAAACATATTCAACTACATAGCTCACACCCCAGGGGAGACTTAGAACATTATTGCCCCCCAAAACATCCTGCTTACCTTTAAGCCACTTCTCACTAGCCATCATCAATTCCTGTTCTAATTTTTACAATCCTGAATTAATTTTGTCTGTCCTTGAATTACATGTTGATTTAATTATACACTATGTACTCACTCATCTGGGTGACATAGTTTTAGTGATTTGTCTGTGCTGTATGCATTGACAGTAAATCCTTCTTCGTTGCTGAGTATTATCCCATTGTATGGATTGCTACAGGTTTTTATCCATTTGAGGAACAAGTGAACTAATAAAATTAATGCACAGATTTTGGAGAGTTGGGTTAAGGAAGTAAGGCAGATCCAGAATCATGGCACATGGCTTCCTGAGGAGTTTGAAGACAGGGAAATGGGCAGCCATTGAGGACTTCCAAGACAGACTTTATATAACAAGGCATCAATATCCAGCTTATCATTTAAGGGAAAGAACTCAGCCTCTAACCAATAATTACTTATAATTCATCTTAAAGCTCTGAGTCTTCATAACTACCATTGTGGAGGCATATATTCTCTCTATTGTATTTTATTTTCATATTCAACTATAAGTTTTGACTACCTGCTATGTGTCAGACATACTGTTAAGAAAGTCACATACATAATGGCTCTGAAAAGTTCCAACCATTCGTATTATTACGAATCCAGGTTATTTCTACTGTGCGTGAGACACCTCTGTAATACAGTAGCTATTCATTTCTGCTCTGAATTCTCCAATTTCCATCTCTACTGGTCAGCTTTGCAGTTGCTAGGACAAAATACCTGACACTTGCTACTTAAAGGAAGCAAGGTTCATTTTAGTTCACAATGGAGAAGCTTTGGTTCACGGTTGGCTGCTGCCAAAGCAGAAATATCATGGCAGAAGGGCATGGTGGAGAAAAGCTTCCAACCAGACTTCACTTCCTAACTGCCCTGTCAGTCAGCTCAGAACTCATCAATAGGGTTAACTCATTGAGGATGTGAATGCCCTCACAATCCAATCACCCTTCCAGGAGTTTCTTGACGGTCACCTTGACAATCAAGATTAGCCGGCACATCATCAGCTAATGGAAGGTCTTGATCCTGCTCATCTTTTTGGGAGCAAAACGTAACTTTGTGACTAGAGTGACAGATAAAAGCACGTCTCCCTGCATTATAGACCCATGGTCTCAGCAATTCGGAGGCATTAGTTTAAATATGTCATACTCAGTCTCATACTGGGACTACTGGGCCAATTGAACAACCAGCTGGCAACTATCATTTGGTCCACTAGTTGTGACAATTTTGTGGACTATCTATTGGAAGTATTTTTCTGAGTCTTTTCAGGGAATCAGAAACAATAATATAATCACACAACATACCATGGACTCTGTTTTCTCACAGCTAGTTACAACATAACAAATATAAAAGCAACAATGGCCATCCATTTCTGAAACTTTTGAAATGATCCCAAAGTTGTTTTCTCCTCTTCTATTTCAAAGAAATTTTTTTCTTGAAACAAATATTTAAGAAAAATCAAAGTTTTAGTGAATATAGTTATTTTCATACAGAGAATAAACTGCTCACTTATAGAGCACTGTATGATTCATAAACTGCTTTGTGAGTTGAATTTTATGTCAGAGAATTTTGGAATGCCAGTTGGTAAGTCATGCCAGATATCTTGGAGAGAAAAGAAAGAGAAAATAGTCATGCCATAGGAAACAACAAGACAAAATCACCATTCTCTGGCCCAAAAGGAAAAGTGAGTTATTTGCCAACTGGACCCCCTAGAATTCAAAATAAAAGAACATAACAAAGATAGGACACATTCAGAGTTCCTTGAAGAAAATGAATACAGATTTCCTGGCAATCAAAAGAAGTTGGATTATGAATATCTAAATACTGGAAACAACCCACCTGGCAAGGGCCTCGAGTGGGAGATCCAGGGTAGAAAGATAAGAGCCAGGTCTTCAGTGATTATGAGGGAGATGGACATTCACAAGTCTGACTGGGAGGCTGGACACTTATTTACTACTCTCAAATTACAGATAAACTATGTGTGGAGCAAGATTACTTCAGAATGTAATTTATAGTTTTTCCTACAGTTTCTTTCCCTACCTTTGCTGTGGAAGCAGTGAGTAGTCTCCATATTTGTTTGTTTCAACAATATTTCATGGTAAGATGCCTGGTCTTCCTTTCACGGGTTTAGCACACTGAGAATAAGATTTGAAAAAAGATGTACCAAATTATTCTGAGCCTTCAGACTTAGAATAGGGCTGCAATGCACAATCACACAAAACTTCAAGGAAACTACATCTCTAGCTGGCCTACGCCTCATGGACTAAGCCAAGAGTGATGTTGGGAAAGCCCAGGCATCTAACCTAAGTGTAAAGCGGGTTGGGATAATGGTATTTCAGAGATTCTACTTTCCATCTTCAAGCTGTTCCAAACCTAAAGACCAGTAATGAAGGCCAGAAAAAGCATCCATTCATAAGGGCACTACTAGGCGAGAAAACACAGCTGATTTTTTTTTAGTACAAAATCCTTTCTGGGTCACAGGTGAATGGGAAATATAAGCAAGACCATGTAGGTTCCAATCGCTTGACTGATCATCACTGAAACTATTTTGCTCTTTGCCCATCAGCTTTTAAACCTCTAAAATCAACTCAATACTTTGTAGTTAACAAATTAATTCACTCAACATTTTACCTTTTAACTGCAGCATAAAAGCCATCAAAGACTTTTCCTTATATTTTCCCCAAAACAAAATTATGGAGACGTGAAAACCTCTAATTTTTCTCACTGATCCACAGTCCTCTCTCTGCCCCCTCATTCAATTTTTAGTAGTTTCCTTTACCTTGGAAGAAATCCTATTTTTTCAAATCCAATAAGTCTTAAGCTTTTCAACTAAAATCATGAAGTCCTCTCATAAATTTTCTCAGATAAGCAAGCATTAGACCCATTTTTGTAAAATAAAGGTCCATTGTGAGGCCAACCAGGAAGTAAAGATGTATCACCATTCCTGAAACAAGAATCCTACCAGCCCTGACAACTGTATCTCACGCTTTTTCTTCTTCCACTGAAAAGACAGCGCCTTGTGCAGTTTTGATGGTATCTCCCATGTCTGCTCAGTAACAAAGCCTCGCCTCCTACGAACAGCTTCTTACCACAAAAGCAAGCATTCTTTTCATTACACTGTCTAGTTTTATTTTCTAAAGTGCTTTTTGTGGCACTTTAATTTGCAAGAGTAAATGCTGGTGAGCAAAGAGATACAATGATAAAGTTGTATTTTAGTTGTCAGAGTATCTAAATTCTTTTTCTCAAATGTTGTTACACAGTTTGTGGCTTGGGCAAGTAAGTAATACCACAAAGCCTTACTTATCAGCCTGAAAAACATGAAAACTTTATAACTTTACTTTTGGTTCTATATAAAGGTTCACCAGGCTATTGTACAAGCTCTTCCCAAGCAAGAATCTGGCCTTCAAGTAACAGATGGAGAACCACCTGTCCCTGAGCATATAAAAATAAGCTAGCAATATGTGATCTGGAAGACCAGATGACCTCTAAGGTTGTATGGAAAATGTTTGGATGGCCACAAAGCAGCCAGAAACACTCAGTAAATGCCTGGAAAATGAGTAAAAGTTACTTGAGTTTACAGTGCTTGGTGAATAAATCATTTGATACATGTGGCAAGTGAACCAAAAGGAAATTGAAATATTCTAGGAAGCAAGGTGAATCAGACAAAAGATTGTGGGGTGGGGGATTATTTTTTAATGAGTTTAACTGCTAGTAATTAAGATTGGCAGTAGAAATTAGCATAAACACACCATCCAAATGGTAATGCAACTGGAACATTGTTATAAATTCTTAATGCCTCTTTGAAGAATAGAAAATGACAATTCATCAAAGAATAATTTATCAGGGTTCACCAAGCACTGACCCACACACTTCACTGCTCTGCTCTGCAGAACTCATTCCAATTTTATAGGGCAAAACGTTTAGTGCAGAAAAGAGAATTCTCACACATTAATAATCTTGATTGGTAGGTTTGAACATTTCTGGACTTGAGATTGTTCTATTTTTCAAAGGAAGCAGTAGGCTGAACTCCATTATAATAACTGTAATAATAGCAATAAGCAATATTTATTGAGCATTACTATGTGCCTGGCTCTGTTTTAAAATATATGTATTGATTCATTCCAACTCACAACAAGCCCAACCCAGAGATAAGCGATATTACTATGCTCCATTTACACGAGATGAAGAAAGTTTGCAACAGTAAGTTTAAGTGAATCATAGAAATCAGCCAAGTTGTAATGGAGGGAACCAAGATGCAGCAGACCTGCCCTGGGAACCCAGTCATACCCTGGGTAGCAGTGGTAGCCGAGCTGTTCTCTCTGGAAATAAATGAGTGTGATGGTCCCCTGCTCAAGTGACAACCACTGGTCTCATAAAATTTGCCTTCAAACACCATATAAATGGATATCAGGAAAAGTACTGAATGAGCTTATCCTGAAATTTTTCAGACATAAGTGCCTCCCTTTATGACTTAATATTTTTTAAATGCATGGGATCGTTTTATATTTAACTTTCCAGGGTCTTACCTAAGATGAATTCATGCCTACATAAGATAACAATCCATTTTCTGAAGTCTCCATTCTGGAACACAGGTAAAGAAGTAAACAGAAATTTCCCAATAGTGACAAGAAATATTCAGAGCAATTATATGTAATTATAGTGGATGGCACACGATTCTGGAAAATGATGATCATGTGAAACTATCCTTCATATCATTCCCCCAAGAGATGAACAACAGTCAGAGTGAATTAGAGGCAAAATTCATGGTTTTAAATTTCCACATGGTAAGTACCTTAACTTCAGCTTTTTCCAATTACTATTTGCATCTTTAACCATAATGAATTCCCTTGCAAGTGCATGCATACCCCTTTTCTCCTTCCAAGGTCTTTTCTTTGTATCTTTCCCTGAAATAAAGTATAATATATCACCTACGCCCAGCTCCAAGTCTGTGATCAGTGAAAGAACCAACGTAGACCAGCAAAAGAATATGATCAACAAGCCATCGCTAAAACTCCACCACTCTGGGAGACTGAAATATGTGGTCCTGACGATACACCATTATGATATTTTCCTGTGCAAAAGACAATGTAATGTTTTAGAGAAAGGAACATAGACTTCCTCATGGTAGCAAAAAGAACTTGTACATACTTTAAAAAATCCTTCTATGAGTCAACTCAGTAAATGTTTATCCAGCCCTGCCCTTGTTCCATACATTAATGTGACCAAAGTAACAATCACACAATATCATTTCTTCAACATAGAAACCTTGAGTATCCTTATTCCTTTGTAAATCTTTATCTGTCATCCATTCATCTCGTGGTATGGGTAAAATATTTCATTCCACAACAGTAAACAACTTCAGTGTCTCCCAAAACCTAGCCACAGGAGGAAGGAAGTCATAGTCGCCTTCAGTATCACAGAAGCAGCCTCAGAGGGCTGGAAGGCCCCAGGCTAAACCAAGGTCAATCTTAAAACCAACTTTGCTAGCAGCTGAGAAGAACAATAGGACACTGACCACACGTTATAATCCTTGTCCTATTTTGGATGTATGTTATCTTTTAATCGGAAAACAAATGGGCTTTCCCAGAGGGAAATCCTCTGTTCCATGAACAGTGTGTAAATAAGATAGATCTGATAGGATAATGGCATTGAAGGAAGATATTTTTCATGTCTCAACCTGAGTATTTCTAGTTTCACCAGAGAAATAGATGGAAAGATGAAAAGTATGCATTGGATAGAAAATGAGATTTCTAGTTCTAAACATCAGTCATTTGCGAGAAGTTCTACTCATTAAAAATCTTTTCAAAAACATAAATGAGGAACATGCATCAGTTCATAATAACACTAAGTCTGGTTTGCGATTTTGAAAGCCTATTATTTAAATATACAACTAGATAACTATTATTCCTGCTGTGATCAGAGATTATAAAATATGCAAGTGTGAGATTGCTATGCTTTACTGATTACCTTTTCTTACATTTAATCTTACCTTTTTTTTTCTACCGAAAAATCAGATGCATATTCAGCCCCATGACAAAGTATTACTGACATAATATCAGGAGTTCATATGGAAACATTTATAATTGATGACAACAATTTAGCAGCACTTTTTGAAAAGTTGATAAAACTTCTGCAAAACTCTAGTACACAGAACTTGTGAGATTTTGAAGTCATTTACAAAGGAACATAAAAATAAAGTACCCATTTTTCCCAAGAGAAATGGAATGTAATCTCCTAAGTAAAATTTATTCATAGTGTAATTTTTATTAGCTTTCTGTAATGGAAAGGCTATTAAATATATATCGTTTTGTGCTTCTGAATAGTTTTCACATCTTCATAAAGGAAGACAAAATCAGTATTGCATTATGAAAAGTACCACTCATGCATTCTGGTTCAAAATGAAAAGAGCCGGATAAGGCAAAATAAATTGCAAAATCTAAATACAGCAAATGTGCTAAGATGAATGATCACTACATTACCTACTCTATGGATGCCACGGAAAACAGCACAGACATCTTAGGTCTCAAGCCAACTTTCCTTGAAATGTTCTTTAAAGCCATTTGTTTGAAAACTCGGTGACATCTAGTGGCAGATTCAGTTCATCACTACTGGACACTCATTGAGAGAGCTGAATTTTAAGGCGTTCCAAAACTCTGGAAGTCAAGCTTTCATTTTTTATTGACATGAAAGATGGGAAATCAGTTTACTGCAACAAAGAAAACATTTTCATTTAATGAGTCAAGGTTGACAGACTAGAACAAGGTTGTGATTTGAGAATGGGAAAACATCATCCTAATCTTCAAGTTCTTGTGTGAGTGGATACCCAGACAGAAGTGACTTTTAGAATCGCTTCCTCATTTCAGTGGGAATTACTAAATGAGTCAAACCTTGCTAGTGTCTATTCTGATGACATATGAAAATGTCTACATTGTACAAAATGGTGAAGAAAATTTAGCCTTGATCCAATCTTACTCCATGTAGAATACAGAGCTATAGTACCTTACAAACTCTCTTCTCCAAGAAGTTAATCGAGTCAAAGTCTGAAAATATTTGGTAATAAGTCTTAATATATAGATATGTTAAAGATCCTTCTTCATAGTGCCTATTAAGATATCACAGAATCCAATGTTTCTCCCTCAGAGGTGTATGATGGTTTGCATGAGATATTTGGTCCAACTTTTACATTCCACAAGCAGTCCGTGGGGTGTAACACAAACAAAGAAGTGCCAGGGTATCTATAGAAAATAATTTGACAAAGTCTGAGATTTCATTAAAAGCAGTATTTCCATAGACCTACACTTTATTCTTAAATATAGTCAACAAAGCTATATTCAATACTACTAAGCCTTAGGTTCCATAGGAGACCAGAGGGACAGAGTAACATAATTTATAAGCTGTGGCTTTGATTTGTCAGTCTGGGGAATAAGGAGTTCAGGAAAGACACCAACTCCAGGCCAAGGTTAGGCCTGGGTTCATTTTTGAGAGCAGAACCCTGGAAAGTTACCTACCCCATACTGGATGGGAAGGGACAGGAAATAATAATAAGAAGGAGAGGCTCCCCTCTCCAGCTGGCATTGGTCCCGACTTTCAATAGGGGAACTGATGACAAAGGCCTGAGCAGGAAAAGGTGGAGAGAGGGTCTGGATACACACACAGGTTCAAGAAATGGAAGGGAGAAAGGACAAGGATAACACATCATGTGAAAAAGTCACTGGGAAGAAGGTTTTTACTAAAAGTAATTGGTTACCTTTGACGATTTGAAGAGAATCGTGAGAGAAATTGGAATTTCAGAACAATCACATCCCATGGAAAATGAATCAGAGGCTCCAGCAGATCTGCTAAAGAAAAGTCAAGTTCACCAAGCTTTATTTCAGGTTAGCTAATTAGACTCAGAAATAGCCTAGACAGAGTATCTCACAAACAAATTAGCAAATTAATCATTTTAACAATGTAGCATTTATAGTCATTTTGCTGATCCAGCAAACTTTTAGACTTACTTCCTTCTGCCTAACAACAATAACATTAAAATAAAGCTGACCCTGGTGAGAGATCTCCTGAGAGTTGTGCTAAGGCTCTAACTGTCCTTGGTGGTTGGTCTAGACGGGCGGTCTTCCCAGAACATGGTTCTCCAAGAAGCTGAAGCTGAGAAGCAAACTGCAGACCCAGAGAAGAAGCACACAGCTTGGCAAGAACTGCCAAGGTCTACCAGTAGGCCTGGCCCTGTGCTGGTGCCCAGTGAGTTTCATTGCTCTAGGAGACTGGTAATCCAAGCTCTTAGAATCTTACTGTTTCCCAAATTCTATTTAGAGTCAGGCTACCCTGACATTCCGAAGGGAAGGGCATCATGAAGACAGGATTATTCCTCCAAACACAGAGAACAAATCAAACAAATGAGCATGGGCAAATTCAACAGCTGAAAGAATTTCAGAAAGAGAACTTTGATTTCATTTCTTTTGTATTGTTTTAGTACCATGGAAATCAGTATGGAGATTCCTCCAAAAACTAAAATTAGAAATTTCATTTCACCCAGCTAATCCCCTTCTAGCTATCCTGCCAAAACACTTAAATACTTCATATTACAGCGATCCATACATGCCCATGTTTATAGCGGTAATATCCATAATAGCTGCAACTTGAAAGCAGCCTATATATCCATCAGATGAATGGATACATAAAATGTGGAATTTACATACCATGGAGTACTACTCTGCCATAAAGAATGACTTCATTTCTTGAATGTGTTGTCCGTGGAGGGAGGAAGGGAAAGCAGGATTGCTACATAGTATACAGGTAAGGAAACAGATACTATGATGATTAAGCCATTGGCACTTTCAAGAAATGAAGTGAGTGTGAACAAAAGCAGTGAGAATAGAGTGAGAAAAAGTAACCTGGCTTTAGAGATATCTCAGAAATCAACTGACACAGGTTTGTCCAGGATGTGTAGAATACAAAGAAATGGGAAAATGTGAGATAATCTCCACGTTACTGGCTTAGGATGAAGTCATCCATCAAGCTTGGAAAAGCTGGAAAAGCTAAAGTAGTAAAGGAAAAGAAAAATAAAAGGAATTAATGTTTGCTTAAATGGGTTAAGTTTTCAGGGGTCATCAAAGCTGGCTGTGTAGTCGGCTGTTGACTACCTAGATCTGAAATTCAAGAGAGAGTCGTCTCACCTAATCATCAGGGGCAGATTTGAAGTGACAAATACATCTCAGTGGAGACAGAAAAGCAGACCCAGTGCCCACTTAGATTAAAATTTTGTGAGATTTGTGTTGTTGTTGTTTGTTCTATCTCCTTCATGTGAAAAATAGTTTTTGAATAATTAATGGTTCTATTTTATTCCTTCTTTGCAAATTATTTTTCTGTTTGCTAATTCCCTCTTAATGAAGTCTTGACTATTGTGTTGTGCTGCAGAGTAGAAGTATAGAATGAAATAGTCTCTGAGAAACAATACTACAGACCCAGGGCACAGGCCTAGTGGAGTATCCTGAACTGCCATTAGCAATCTACCATTTGAATATCAAATTCAAATTTTGAGACTAAAGTCAACACTGACCATGTGACCCCTTTTATACCATTTAGCAATAAGGAGGATTTCACCAAACCCCAAATAAGTTTGTTACTCTTCATTTTTCCTTATTAAAATTTTGTCCAGTCAGTGACATAGCTCAGTGGCACAGCGCCTACCTGGCAGGCGTGAGGTCATGAGCTTGATCCCCAGTACCAACATATATATTTCTAATCTTACATTGTCCCACAGTAAAGAAGGACCCTTGTAGAAAATAAGAGCATGTTTCAATATGGAGATAAAATTAGCATCTAATTAAAATACATATGAACTTTATTGCAATGTAATCTACTGCATTTGTTTTAACACAGTGGGTTAGTCTTTAAAACTCAACTTGGTATTTGACCCTTGCTAGATTACCCTTATGTTAACTATGGAAACTTACTTGCAAATTAAAAAGTTGCATGCAATATAATATTCACTCAACATCCAACTTTGTATAAATGTGGTTTTTTAAAAAAAAAATATCAGTCATTCAAGACCGATTAGATCTAAATTTTGCTAGATAAAGAGGCAGGAGCTAGTTTATATCTTCAAAAAGTACATGACCTAGAGGGTCATAGAAGTCTCATAAGCTAGGAGCAATCATATAGTGCAGTCTAAGTGCTTACTTAGGATGATACTATGGCCCCTCTTAATTAAATGAGCTAATTCATGTAAAAAGCTTGACTCTAGTCAAAACAGTGAGTGGAACATTGCAATTATTATTTGCATACTTGTGTAGAGGATAGCAACAACCATTTTAGAGACAGCTGAAAAAAAATGAAATTTGAAAATACTTACCAATTTCCCAAAGCTTGGAAGCAAAGAAGATGTGATTGGCACTGGCACTGGCCTGACATTAAAATACATGACCTCTCCCCATTGTCCCCCGAGTGGGGAAGTGTGGGGGGGGGAGGGTTGACATTGCTCTGTACCCAGATGAGGAGTTAAGATGGTTTTCATGAGCTGGAGCATAAAGAAAAAGATCACTAAGAAGCAAAGAACACCTGAAGAGAATTTCAAACAAGAGAAAAGTATACGTAAAATACTCAAGGCTCAGAAACACCCAGCGTGTCTGGGGAGACAAAGGCCAGGCAGGGTGAGTGGTGAGTGGGAGCTCTAAAGAAGGTTTGGAAGCAAGGTAGAAAAGATAATGTACATAATATTAAAAATCCTACTGAGAAACAATCACGATGGCTCTTAAACATTCTGCTGATTAATGTAATGCTCTTGGTACCAATTTGTTTTAAGAAAGGGACATGGTTACAAAAAGATATTAGAGAATAGTAATTTGGGAAAAGTGTGGAAAGGCGCTGAGCTACCTGGAGACAAAGCATTAGGAGGAGGCGATTTAATAAACTGGTTCTGAAATGCAGGAACTCAAATGAGGAGAAAGGCAAAGACATGGAGGACGAGGAAAAGAATCTCATTTTTGACACTGTCAGCAAAATTCATTGCTTGAGTCTTTAGGGTGTAAGAAAGAAGTCAGAGACAGCAATTTCTGGGGTGAGAACAGAGGAAGCCATCGGGAAGATGCAGTGCAGAGGAGGAGCAGAAGGACTCAGGGTGTCAGCTCTGTGACCTTGAGAGGCTTTAGAGTGGAGCAAGTGAAGGCAGCCCTGCGGTGAGGTGTTTGGACACAGAGATTGGTGGGAATCAGCGTAGCTGAGTTCTGGCACTGGACAGGGACAGGGGTTCAAAGCAGCAAGGCACCGAGAAGCTGTCCTTTGGTAACGCCACTGTCCACAGTACTACTGTCCACAGCTTTGAAAGGGAAAAAATCTGGAAGGAGACATAATAGTGGACAGAAGGTAAGAAGAGCATTGGGAGAGGGCAGAGCCGGCTTCGCCATGGTAAGGATGGCACAGAAGCGCTGGGGGCGGCAGCTGAGGACCCATTTGACACGGGAAATGGGGGCACGTCTGAGAAGCTGTTTTCTGGGCAGTGGGGGCCATCAGAGTCCTAGGGAAGCCGTGGAAGGCTGGAACGCTGAGGACAGACTTGACTTTTCAATGTGTCTGCAAAGAATAGAACAGGGCCAGAGACAGAAAAACTCAAATGATAAGAAAAAGCTGAAAAGGAGTAACTCCTAAGCAGGGTCAGTACGGGGTCTTCAAAAGCAGCAAAACTCACTTTACATACTGTTTCGTTTTGTTTCTTCCAAGTTTCTCTCAGAGAAATAGCTTCTGCTTAATGATACTAAGAACCCAGATAAGTACTTCTGCAAATGGTACATTGGTCCTTCTCTGGCTGCCTTTGTGTGTAATCTTTTCAAACACACAACTTGCTGTTTTTGCTGCATCAGGCAACCCAGTTTCCCAAGCCACGGTGTTGTTTGGCAGCGGAACCTATAGTTTGAGAACACGGCACCCTGGTCACTACCTTCCCTCCCCTCTTCCTGCCAGACCGTTTATTTACAATTGTTTCACGCCCTGTATGCCTTACATAGCACTTTAGGAGTTAAGCACTCTCTCACTAATTTCTTCTTCTCTTACTTTAGGATTTATCCCACCTACTACCAACAAACGGGTGTGATTTATGACATGCAGTTTACTTTTATCCATTATAGGCATCTAAGGCTAGCCCTGGAAGCTTCCCAATCCTTGCTAATACCCCCTCTGCTCCCAGTTATTTCACAGAGTAGCTCAGAGAGATGGTTCAGAGGCATCTGAAACTTTCAAGGAAAATCTATAGTCAACATGCCACTCCTAAACTCACACACTCAGGGCTAGAGATAACACCTCCTAAAAAGAAAAGTATCTTTTTTTTAATTGTTACTATTTCAGGAGACATTCAGATACTTGCTCAATTGGGGAAAAATGATTCAGATAACATTGTATTCTATTTCCTCCAAATTCTCACTAAGCAAGTTGCAATGTCAGGACTTGTTATAAATAACAAAGATTAGTATTAGCTTTCCAAGGATTAACATGAAAAAAAAAAAATCACCAAGCCTTGAAGAGCCTCACTAGCCACCAGAAACATAGACTAATTGAAAATAAATGGTGGTGAGATTTCAGATGATAAATTATCATCCAGGAGATGAGAATAAATGGATTCCATTTAATAAAATGAATAGTAGTTGTTTCTGAGCTCGTTTTTCCCTTTATTCAGCTTTCAAGCTAATACAAAAGACTAAGGAAGGGGTTGGTAAGAGGTCAATAATATTAATAGTGCACAAAGATTTCCCACAAGAAGCTACAATCTTAACAATCACTTTAGGAAAGAAAATGGTGCTTACAAAACTATTTCCCCTAAAACAATATAGGACTTCTGAGGAAGGAAAATAAT